TAGCTATCTATCTCTTTATTTCTCTTCCTTTTTCCAATTAAGTGACTTTGTTCTCTATTTCTTTTCCTTTTCCAATAAAGTGATTTTGTTTCTCCTTCTGAACTTATATCTCTAATTCTTTTATTGATGTAGGGGTTTTTTTATGAACCCTAGATAAAAATCTACCCTCAGGAGACAAGAAGTAAAATCTTGTTCTACGTCCTCACCATCCTTTGATATTGTCAGTGTTTTGGATTTGGGCCATTCTGATAGGTAAGCAATGTTATCTCATTGCTATTTTAAATTGTTTTGTTTTGTTTTGTTTTTACAGTTCTGGGAACAGAATCCAGAGCTACCAACATGTTAGGCAGGTGTTCTACTACCGATCTATATCCCCATACCATCATTATTATTTTAGATTTTAATGCTCTAGATTTTATATTGAATGTTTCTTCATATGCTTATTTGCCATCTGCATATCTTCTTGGTGAGGTGTCTGTTAAGATCCTTGACTAATTTTTTTTTTTTTGGTACCGGGGATCGAACTCACATCCTTGCACTTGTGAGGCAGGTGGCGGCACCACTGAGCTCCTTGACTAATTTTTAATTGAGTTGTTCCTTTTCTTTTTGCTGAGTTTTAAGTGTCCTTGGTGTATTTTGGATAACAATGTTTTATCAGCTATGTCTTTTACAAATATTTTCTCCCAGTCTGTGGCTTGTCTTCTCATTCTCTAAATCTTTTGCAGAGCCGGGGATTTAGCTCAGTGGTTCTCCTGCCTGCCCTGCAAGCGCAAGGACCCGAGTTTGATCCCCAGTACAAAAACAACAACAACAACAACAACAATCTTTTTCAGAGAAAAAACTTTTAATTTGAATAAAATCCAGGCTATTATTCATTCTTTCACGCAGGATTCCTTTAATGTTATATAAAAAAATTCATTGCCATATCAAAGGCCATAGAGATTGTCTTCTATATTTTTCAGGAGCTTTATAGTTTTGTAATTTAGATCTGTAATATATTTTGAGTTATTTTTTGTGAGAGAGTGTAGGGTCTAGATTCATTTTTTATACATATGTCCAGTTTTCCCAGCACTATTTGTTGCAAAGACTATTTTGTTTCTCTACTCTATTGCATTCACTGCTTTGTCAAAGGCCAGCAGACTCTATTTATGTTAATCTGTTCCCAGGGTCTCTACTCTGCTTTTGATCTACTTGTCTGTTCTTTCACCGACACCACACTGTCTTGATACTGTAGCTTTACAATAACTCTTGAAGTCAGATAGTTTCGATCCTCCAACTTTGTTTTTCTCCTTCAATACTGAGTTGGTTATTCCTAGTCTTCTGCTTCTCCATATAAACTTTAGAATCAGCTTGTCAATATTCATTCAAAAATAACTTGCTGGGATCACACTGAATCTATAGATGAAGTTGCAAATATTATGACAATATTAAATCTTCCTGTGTATAGTCATGGAATATCAAATCTCTCCATTTATTTAGTTCTTTGATATCTTCCATCAATTTTGTGGTTTTCCTAATATAGATCTTATACATATTTTGTTAGATTTCTACCAAAGCATTTCATTTTTGAGGGTTAAATGTAAATGCTAATGTTTTTATTTCATATCCTACTTGTGCATTGCTTTTATACATGAAAGCAATTGATTTTTATATATTAAAATTATACCCTTGCTACAGTCACTTATTAGTCCCTAGAAGTTCTGTGTAGATTATTTGAGATTCTCTACAGAGATAATTGGGTCACTTGCAAGCAAAGGCAATTGTTTTAATTTCCTTCTCATGTATATTGCACTAGCTAGGACTTCTGGATTAATGATGATAAACAGTGGCTAGAAGGAACATCCTTGCCTTGTTCATGGTTTAAAAGGAAAAGTATGTAACATTAGAATTTTTTCATAGATTTCCTTTTTCAAATTGAGGCAGTCCCCTCAAAATTCACATTTTTATATGTGTACAGTAGGCTGAGATTTCAGGGGCACTGAGGTGAATATTTCCCCATCTAGTTCTTTCCTATCCTTTGGCCAATGCTTGGCTTTCCTCCTTAGATTTTCTGTCTTTCAGCTTAGTGCTGTTAAAGCCCTAATCTTACTTTAGTTTTTGATAGGTATAGACTATGGAAGCTCTCACATGAGGGAAGCAGGAAATGGAATATTGGTAAGAAGAGGGAGAAGTATACCTTTCCTGTGTAAGTCTGCCAAGGCCTGTGTGAACAATACATCATGTCAACTATTATGGTTTATATCTAAAATGCCTACTAAAAGTCTCATGTGTTCAGAGGTGAGATGGGGGGTCATATTATCAGACTCTGTCTTCATCAATGGGCTGCTCCATTGATGAGATCCTAATTTGATGGCATCATTTGGGAGGTAATGGAAACTCAGAAGGTAGAGCCTAGTTGAAAAAAGCAGCTTATGGGGGTGTGACTTTGGGGAACTATATCTGGTGCCCAGCTCCCTTGTTTCTGACTCTTTCAGAGCTTCTCGTTTTCTCTGCTTCCAGGCTACCATGAGGTAAATAGCTTTTCCCCTACTATATCCTTCTGCCTTGCTACAGGCCTACAGCAATGGAGTCAGCTGACTGTAAACTGGAGCCTCTAAAACTGTGAGCCAAAATAAACCTTTCCTTCTCTTACTTTGTTTATCTCAGATATTTGTCACAGCTATGAAAAGCTAACACATCAAGGCCTATCCCTCACCCTTTGGGGAACAAGCCAGAGCAAGCCAGTTCAACAAGCCAGAGCAAGCAGACCCATAATAAAGATAATGTTGGTGATGGTGATGGTGATGATGATGATGATGATGATGATGATGATGATGATGATGTTGAAGATGATATGAGCTACTATAAGTACCTGTTATGTGTTGAGAACCATGCATCTCTAATTTTCACAACAAATCTTACAGAGAAGGAAATATTTTAGTACCTCCTTTAAAAGGTAGAAATAGCTTCAGAAATGTCAAGAAGCTTAGCAGAGCCAAATTAAAAACCGAGGTGTAGTCTGGGCCCCATGATCCACCTTTGGAAGGTTCAAGGAAGACTTTCCTGAAGAGCCCAAAAGTCACTTCTCTGGGCACCTCTCCATCCTCAGGAGTCAGCCAGCACTTGCTCACATAAGGCTACAAGGTTTCCATTTCCCTGGTGACAGGCAGTATGATGAAGATAAGCTCTAAAAAGCCAGAAGATGATGAGAATCCCAATTTGATCATATGTTTGGATTCAAACCTCCTCCTTCACCAAGTTGGGAAACTCTACCCTTCATCTAAGAGACCTGAAATCTGAGCAGTATAATGTCAGGGTACCTAATCTTTCCCTTATTTATCACACCTGAACTTCTATCCTTCCTTTTGCCTTGCCCCACTTGTATCCTTTGTGAGGTATGCACCTGCTAGATCTTCAAAGTGGCCAAAATGCAAAACTTTTCAGGGGAGACTACATGCCATGGTGCTCACATAGTGGATCTCAAGCATATGCCATGTAGGACAGGAGTTTGCCTGAGGTGAACATAAAGAGAAATGGACAGGTTGGAAGGGGAAAAGCCCATACCAAGATGAGAGAAGACCTGAAGAATGTTATGGAGGGGGTAATTTAATGGTAGTACCTTTGTGGATGTTTCAAAGGGGAAATCAGCCAAGAGTTATGGCACATGCTTGTAATCCCACCGATGGGGAGGCTGAGGCAGAAGGATTGCCACGAGTTCAAGGCCAGCCTGGGCTACATAGTGAGTTCAAGCTCAGCCTGGACTATATAGTGAGACCCTGTCTCAAAACAAAACAAGAAAAATAAATGGGAAATCAACATCTCCTAAGGTAACTAAACAACAAGCTTATAGTCTTTATGTAAAGAAGACCAATAAACAAAAACTTAAGCACTAAAGAAGGAAACATATTAAGTTATTTGTAGTTGACTCTGCATCTGATATATACACACAAACATTAACATATGTGCATATGTATGTATAAATATAATATAATTATATAGATCACATGTAAAGAAAGAACTAGGTATCCCCTGATATCTAGAAGCTGGCAGGGATTGGTCAGCCAGATCTCGGGGTTGTGATCACCTGTTTAACATGAATAATCTCACAAAGCAACAATATCAGACAAAGCCACACCGTGATGGTGACAAACCAAGGTATAAACAGGACCACACTGGAATCATGTCTTAAAACGGACTAAACAGAACATTGCAAACCACAGAAATGATAGAACATCTCCCTCTCCTGGCTAATAGGAGTGATTGCTGCTTCTTTGCTGCTGCTTTGTCCATCACAGCTTTGGCCTCACTAGCTCACCCTTTCTCTAGATAAAATTTATTGAAATACCCAATAGTAGAATTGGCCCCACTTCTGGACAGAATTCAATGTAAGAGCATACCCCAGTTTCCTTAAACCCTCCCCTCATTACAGAACATAAGCCCTAATCCTAGAAGTGCTTTCAAACCTCCTTTTCTTGAGATGACCACAGTTCCCATATTGTATATTATTTCTCTCTGCTGGAGAGTATTGAAAGTGTGTATCAGAGAGAGAGAGAGAGAGAGAGAGAGAGAATGTGTATCAGAGAAAGAGGTAGAGAGAGAGTGGACGTTCATATATATTTTTTTCTACGTGATTTCGTCTTTTTATACTCTTTACAACATTAAAATGGAGCTCTTTCCAGACACTTAGGAGGTTTAGGCAGGAGAATCATCAGCCTGGGCCCCTCCCATATCAAAAATAAACAGAAAGATAATAGATAGATAGATAGATAATTTTTAAAAATTAACATGAATTCTTGATTGGACTTTCGCAAAACAGAGTGAAGTCTCCTCAATTAAAAGAGCCATGCCTCAGTCCCTGCCGGCGCCGCGGGGCCGCATCGCCCCCGGCTCGGCCCATGCCCAGGACGGCTGCGCCCTCAGCCGCCGCCCCGCCGCCGGCACCCGGGGGGGGACGCGGCGGCCGTGAGCAGGGCGGCGCGGGGCAGGTCTATGTCGCGGGCGGCGGCGGCGGAGCCCGCGGAGGGACGATGCGCGAGTACAAAGTGGTGGTGCTGGGCTCGGGTGGGGTGGGCAAATCCGCCCTGACCGCGCAGTTCGTGACCGGCACCTTCATCGAGAAATACGACCCCACCATCGAAGACTTCTACCGCAAGGAGATCGAGGTGGACTCGTCGCCATCTGTGCTGGAGATCCTGGACACGGCGGGCACCAAGCAGTTCGCGTCCATGCGGGACCTGTACATCAAGAACGTCCAGGGCTTCATCCTTGTCTACAGCCTGGTCAACCAGCAGAGCTTCCAGGACATCAAGCCGATGCGGGATCAGATCATCCGCGGAAAGCAGTATGAGAAAGTGCCAGTCATCTTGGTTGGGAGCAAAGTGGACCTGGAGAGTGAGAGAGAAGTATCCTCCAATGAAGGCCGAGCCCTTGCCGAAGAGTGGGGCCGTCCCTTTATGGAGACTTCTGCTAAGAGTAAAACAATGGTGGACGAACTCTTTGCAGAAATTGTGAGGCAGATGAACTATGCTGCTCAGCCTGACAAAGATGATCCGTGCTGTTCTGCCTGTAACATACAATAGCATCCAAATCTGGCCGTCCTGTGCAGGACTTGCCCGGTATCACAGGCGATAGGCCTCGCCTACCACATTGCAGAGTTGGCAGGCTGTGTATTGTGCAACTACAGTGCGCTGCAGCCCTTATTCAGAAATGAGCAGTGATTGTCAGTTGATGTCTTTGAGTACATGTGGGTTCAGTAACTACAGTTTTCACCATTGTCCTCAGCCTCCTTTATGCATCTGCAACTTGAAGGCATAGCCCATCGATCTACAGGGTGATCTCATTTGAAAGCGATGATGGCATTGTCGCTGAGTTGACAGGAGCAACTATTGTATAAATTCAACTGAATCAGGAGGGAGAAACCAGAATTCCTCTGACCACTCACAGTTAAATATTTTGTCTTCTTTACAAAAAACATAAACCAAAGGAGAATATTTTCCTAAGAGAGTACTGAATTTCAGGAATTGGAAGAGAGCTCCTAACCAGTGTATTCCATCAAGTAACATAACAGCTGGCCTGCCAACAGCATTGCAGGGAGAGTCTGCACAGCTGACACATGTCTGTTTTTCAAAATTGATGCTTAATTGTAGATGTTATCCTAATTTGTGACCTAGTACTAACTCACACATCAATCCTGATAGAGCAAAAGTCAGAACAAAGTTGTGTGAAAATACAGTCTGGCTTTGGAATTTGTTAAGTCACCTGCTTTGCCACAGAAAATGGAGGCTCTCACAAGGGTTTGACCGGAATTAAAATCCTCTGTTAACCAAGCAGGGATGGTCTTTATTTCCTGAACAAGAAGGAAGCAACTGAGATGGAGAGATTGTCTAGCCTTACTAACAAGAAGCATTCTAGTAGCTTAACTAGTACAATCATGTAAGGAAAATGAAGCCATGTTGCAGCCACATGTTCCTGTTTGCAGAAACCTCACAGGACTGTACAAATATCTGGCATTTTTATGTTCGTTAAAGCAGCAAATTCCTTCTCGCCTTTAAGGGCTATGGTGTGATGTGACCCTTGGCTAAATTGCTTTGGAAATCCAGTTTGCTGTAGCAGAGCTTTACTGCAGGCATTTAAACAATTGAATAACCATGTGAAATAATTTGGGCTTAAAAGTAGAACATAAATTATAGTGTGGAAGGTGAGGGACAAAAAGCCTTTTATCTTTAATTTTCCTGGAGAATTATATAAAGGTTTTCTTATAACAATTCTGCCCTGATTACTGAAGTGGCAAATAAAGCTGGAGTGAATATTTTGTTTTGAAAAGGTGCTCAAGCTCTGATATTTTTGGTTTTGATAGCCGTGAAGTATTTATCATTTGCATGAGTAATGGCACAGGAAAAACCTATTCAAAAGTTTTACAATCAAATGTGGAAAGGTTTTCACCTCACTTCAGAGTTAGAAATGCTGAAGCGTTGATCTTGAGCCCACCCTCTGGAGAGAAATTTGGCCTTCAGAACTGCAATATCACTGAGCCTGTGGTATACTTAGCGCCCAAATTTTCTTGGTTCCACAGTCTTGTGCAAGTAACCTCTGGTCTTCCGTGTATAACTGAAAGAAGAGTGTGTGTCTGTGTGTGCATGTGTGTTTATCGTTCCTAAGAATTTGGCACAAGTCAGAGATAATTGCCTATACTGAGAATCTATACTGCAGAATACAGTGTATCAAAAACATTTTTTTCTTTGAAATTATTTAAGGATCTTTTCTACATCCTGGAAATCATCAGTAACCCCCAAGTGTTTAGTAACTGGCATCAGGCTTTAAAGGTAGAAAAAGGGTTGATAGTATTTTTCATAGATGAGAAAACTGAAGCAAAAATGTGAATAAAACTAGGCAATGTTTGTTAGAGAATCTTTGAATTGTGAATATTTACATTCTTCAGTATAAATTTTTTATAATCTTCGATTACAAAGCACCTTGTTTATAGGACAAAAAAGTTTTAACCAATTTTCTTTAGGCAAATTTCACCATGTAAAAGTTGATTTGACCCAAACAGAATAATCAAAGATTCAAGAAGTATGATTTATCTACTGAAATAGAAATATTTGTTAGTAAATTGGTTGTTTTGAAGCTTTTAACCTCTAATAATGATTCTGTGTTTTAGAATTCCATAATACCAATTTGTGACAACTAATGTTGTGTATTAGAAACAGCCCTACAGACTCCACAGTTTAATATCATGGATTGCTATGCAGACACAAAAAATAGGTGAAATAATGTGAAAGGTCTGGCAAAATGAGGTGGAAAAGATTATCAAATTTGGAGTTTTGACTAGAAATGTTTGTCAGACAGTAAGGTGGGCTTTTACTGTGAAGATGTTGCTAAGAACTGATTGGCCGCCTGATGAGTGTTTGCA